CAGAAGCACGGTCATCAAAGCAATGTAATTCAGTTTTATTGTATTACTCATAGTTGCTCAGACACGTGTATATACAAATACAGATTATTTTTTTGTCAAATTTTTTTGTTGTTGTTTATATACTGTAAAAGAGCAGGTTGGAAATATTCCCCCACTGATGGCAAAGTGGGAGCGGGGTTCAAAGGTGAGGGGGACAAGGACAGCAGGTGGTGTGGTGGAGGATATACAAGCACAAAGAGGGATGGGACATGACAGTTGCACAAAAATTAACAAGTGGCTGGTCAGCAAGGGCGTCGCTGACAAAGAGAGGCTTTGCCCTGTGTGCACAGAACCTGGATCGATGATAGCCCCCCCCCCCAACTAACAATCCACTCTAGCATTTGGTGGAGGGGCTGCACTAATCCTTGAACTGTACCCAGGAGCAACGTATATCGTAGGGACAAGTGATTCTGGGGCGTTCAAAAGGGAGAGAAACGTGAAGGGCCCTGTTGTAGTCTCTCCGACGCCAGCACCCATTCCATGTAAAAGCACAATGGCAGAAAGCGTCTTGTACACAGACGGGGCTGCCAGGGCAGAGGCTGAAGGGCTAAGGCATGGGAAACACTCTTCTTTGCCAAAGAGGGTTGCCGCTTCCCATTCACTGCGGCAACAGCAAATGAGACACGCACACACAGACACACACACAAACTCAAACAGTCTCACACATTTTTTTTTTTTCCAAGCTGAAAAACATCCGCACATTGATGTATACACAGGCAAACGCCTCCTCTTGTGAGGGCGGAGAGAGGATGAATAGTCGGAGGAGACAGACTGAAACTACATGGGATGAATTCTGTAGATGAGCACAGACGAGAGCTGTTCTCAGGAAATGAAAAAAAACGACGTTGTTTTTGAACTACAAAATGACCTACCCCCACTGTAACTTCACAACAATGGTTTGTGTTATGTACATTTGTCATCTGAAACTACACAGCTTTATGACATCACTCAAATGGGGATGCAAAAAACACACAACATGAATGTGATCAAAAAATCTAGTACGCCTTAAAAAGGAAAATAAGAGCAAAGGAAAGAAAACATTCTTTTTAAAACTTTTTTGATCTTTTTTTTCTCTTTTTCTTTTTTTACATGTCATCAAAGTCCATGCGCATGCCACATAATGAAACCGGCGAGTTCCTGCAGTTGAAAAGCTGACGGTCCCCTCAGGGCAGATCTTTGAGCTGAACAACATGCTTTCAAAAGCTGAAGGCTAAAAAAAAAAAAAGAAAAGAAAAAAAAAGCGTACAAATAGGCCGTCCATTATGTCCCAAAGTGTTTCTCTCCGAGGCAGGATCCTTATGTGAAGAGATGGTTGAGGGTCGGTGACTGGTTTGAAACATGTAACAGGTGAGCCACTTGTTGGCCAATGTCCAGCCTTCTGCACACTGGTGCGTGCACAGTTCCCACAGGTTTCCCCTTCGTATTAGCTCAAAGTTTCATTAGGCATTGAGGATTGAAGCACACAATGCATTTGTTTGAGGACAGTACACACTCCGCAAAACCCAGAGATAATACCGCGTTCGTTTTTTAGAAAAGACATAAGAACCAAATTAATACTTTAATATCAAACACTATTTACATCAAGAAGTTGTCCTAATAATAATAATAATAGTCGTAATCATCATCATCATAACAATAATAATAATTATACAGTTTTAACAATGATGTATCTCACTTTTTTCTTTTGTCCTCAAGAAAGGTACAAAATGGATACTAACCTAACACTACATGTTTTATGGTTGACTACCTCAGGATACACAGTATCCAGTTTATAAGTTGATCCTCATTTCCCAAGTTAAGGTGTGTACAGAATAAACCATGGTAATAATAGCAATAATGACAAAGAGTAGTATTGGTAACTATAAGAGAGTACAGTCGAAGCTGGTTTCTGATAAAAAGACTAGTGTTTATCTGCTGACAAGCGTCCATTTTGGATTGTATGCGGTCCTCATTTCCCTATGGTGTTATCCTGAAAATTAGTACCTCATTAAATGGCCTGGTCTCCTATTACCCCCCCCCCCCCCCATAGCTGAGCTGCTATTTCCACTGTAATAGCATTGTTACCGTAGCACAAAAAACAAATGGCAAAAGGCAAAGGCAGTCTTTTGTGGGAGAAAAAAAATAAAACTGAAAAACAGATTAAAGGCAGCCACAAAAATGAAATCAACACAAAAACAAAACAGTGCGTGCCTTTTAAGACTGAATGGTACTGAACAGTATGTTTGTCATTGAATCTTGTGGGTTTTTGTGTTTGCAGTCGTGTTGCATGGATTTTTAGCTGTTTGGTTAGGCACTCTAGTCACACTACCTTCTGCTATACCTCCCATGACTCTTCTCTGTGTGTGTGTCCCTCTGTTTTATTCTTTCTGTCTTCTTCACTCACCGATTCTTTCAAACTGCAAGGTCATTGGTGCTTTAAACCCCCCCCCCACACAGTGGAAATCTACACCCCACACTGCTCCTCCTCCTCCCGAGACCCCCCAAGCCTTCCACCATCTATTTTTAATACCAGAAATAACTCCCCTTGCCACAACATGGGGTCCACATGCCTGTCATTTTGAACCTCATTAAAGAGTTACTTAAACCAGTAACACTAGGAGCTGAAGGTGGACATGCGAAATGTGACATGCGCCGCTTCTCTTGCTCCACTTCTCTCTTTCTACCTCAAACCAACTGGTGCCTTATTTGTCATACAAAGCCAGACTCTGAGAAAGTGAAGCAGAGTTTATTTCTCTTTCTGTCCATACTTCTCTTTGAAAGCTAAGAAACATGCCCCTTCGATGAAAAAAGAGACTCACCATGTGCATCTGTGGGAGATGATGAAATCTGAACATCATTAAAACACAGTGAATTGCTTTGAATATAAGTGCTAACATAAACCTGGCTACGACTAGAGCTGTGCATTGCCTTTAATTAAACTTTCTCCTTTCAAGCAATGTGGTTAAAACTAATTGGAGCTAAAACGGAATAATCTGAATCTGAGAACCAACTAACTATTATTTGAGCATGATTAAAAGCTGTAAAGGACAAAGATGTGAGGAAAAAGTATACTGCTGTAAATTGTGGTTTCTATTGAATCACCTCCCCATTAGGTCACGGTCACACATACAAAAATGTTTCTATTCCGTGCGAATGAGGGAGCAAACAACACACTTGCTTTGTGTGACGAGTGGCGTGGAGTTCAACTTCGGTGAATTTTAACCAGCAACACCACAGCCTCGACCAATAGCAACAACGGTTATGTGGTTGGCTTTTGGCCGTCATTGGCTGTAGTTGTCATCGTGAGCCCAGACAGAATATAGATGGAGACTCTGATTTTAGCTGTGTTGAACCCACTGCTTCTTTGATGTCAGGAAAATTACCACAGCCACAACCTCAAACAGGCTATATGTGGCTACAACTGATTTGCGTCACATCCTGCACTGCACACATTCAGCCAGCGATGATGTGTAATTTGCCTCAGCAGGTGTTTATCAATCACCTACATTTGCGTATGTGTGATTGTGTATTTACCAAAGAGGATCTCAGACGGCACAAAAATACTAATTTTGTGGAGACAAGTAATAGTAGTAATAGTAAAATAATAATTTAGTGTTCAATTTAGCTGTGTGAATAATTTGCAAACAATCACTTTATCAATCAATAGTGAAGGAAAAAAAAAAAGCCTTGGATGCAAATTTTCATGGGAGAGTTAATATTGACTACAACTCAAAGGAAAAAGGCAACAATTGTTGCCCAGCTGAGTAAATGCAGCATAAAATGATTATGACTGTTGCCGGGAAATTGTTTGATCAGCTTTCAAAAGATATTGATCCTTGATCTTAATAACAGTCCCACAAAGTATCTGGTGAGAAAGTTTCAGTTTGGTTGTTTAGTGAGTCGGATTTAACCAAGTGCTTTGAGAGGTGTTTGAGCGTGTACTGCACAAAGAGGGACAAGTTGCCCAATGGTTCTATAGTTTTTACACTGACTAGCTCCATCTATAAGTAGCTTATTCACAAACACATGCAATTTATATTCAAGAGAAAACCGAGCACCATCTCTGACTCAGGACAGTCTGATGATCAATAGACTAATGTGCATGCCATTTACTTAATTTCTCAGTGCTGTGGTTTCCAGTCTGACCTTTGCTTAAAACCATTACTCCTAATTTCCTTCATCATTTCACTTTTAATCGCACATCCCAGTTCAGTGGTGTTGCAAGAAATCTGCTTCTTATGACGCATCAGAGCTCTATCAAGATCTATTCTGAAAGGCTTCATGAGAGGTCTCGGGATTTAGCTATTTATTTTGTGTATGTACAATCATTTCTAAGACCTAGATTCTTCACTTTCCTACTGTGTAAGGCTGCTACTGTATACAACTGTGTAAAACCCTACTGCTATTGACTGTTAGAGGCATTCTTGTATGTGACTTTGTAAGCAGTGTGTGTGTGTGTGTGTTTGTGTGTATGTGTGGGTAAACATCAGTGCTGCAATGAGATAAACATGATGTAAAGGGATGTCAAGTCACGGGAAAATAAGAATCACTAAGTGTCAAAAAACGAGATTTGGCATCTTAGTTGAAGGTTTAAGAGGGGGAACTGTCTCCCCCCTTCCAACATCAACTTTTTTCACTCACAGACGGAGAAAGACCACTTAAATATTTTTTTTTTTTTTCTGAAAAAAATAGAGGGTTCCTTGAGAAGCCTACTCTGACGCCCAATCAAGAGAACACGCTGCACCCAAAGCCCGCCCCTTCCCTGCAGCCTCGGGCAGATTCAGGCCACGCTAGGTGTTAAATGCCCTCCTGGACAGAGGGAGGCGCTATAAAGTGAAGAGCGCTGCTAGGCAGACCAGCAACAAAGCCAGGAGTGGACTTGTGTTCTGCAGGTGCGGCGCGGCATTTGTTTCACTTCGGGAAGGCTCGGCTGGTTCGTGACTGGTATCGTCTAAAAGGGTAGAAAAAGAAATACAGTGAATAACTCTTATACAACAGTACCTTGCAGACAATAACATTTTGCAATTAATTGGATCTCAAGTGTTTGTATATCTGATCTATAAAGCCTTAATCTGACAGTGTTTCTTGCTGCAGAAACAACAGCATGTTTGTAAAGTTTTTCACAGTGATATTTAAACCGGTTGCCATGTGAACTTCAGTTGCTGTGTCATGATTCTACTCTCATCCTCAGAAACAGTTTGAAATCATCTGTCAGGTGAGGGCGCCTCCCGAATGTGCCAGCCTGGCAATGTCATCAGTGTGTGTGAGCAGCCATGTGCCTGGTGCACCATGGGAAATAGGCTGAACCATGCACAGCAAAGGACAGATTGACAGAACAGAGGACCGGAGTTGTGTGTGTGTGTGTGTGTGTGTGTGTGT